AGCTGCATTGTGTTTGCAGTTGTTTTCTGCTTGTATCGATTCAGACTTTTGTGAGCAAGCGAGCTGCAAGTTATGCAAGCCACCTGGGCTTTTATACATACTTGAGGTGAAAAGTCTTCAAAATTATCCAATGCGTAGCCATGGGGCTGAAGAAATCCAAACCAGCATAGCAAGATGCGTGCGTGTCTCTCTGTGTGTGCGAGGTTTATATGCCTCTGACGAGGCCAACCCAAACAGGCAGGACGAGAAGCAAACCTTCGCTAATTAGGGGCCACTTCGCAACCTCGCAAGCTCCATCGCGGGAAGCCTAACGCCCAGCTGGGGCCGCGGCATTGATGACGCTGTTGTAGCTAAAGGCATCGGTTTTCACCTCAACTCTCAAAGGCTAAAAGGCTATGGGGTACGTTCAACAGCGACCCACAAGCGGTCGTGAAGCTTGACAGTTGCCCGTGAGTCGATTGCCCCATTGCCCCAATGACAAAGCCATGTCGCTCCGGCTCCCTCGTGAACAAGCTTATCCCGGCCGAGGGAGGTCTTGTTGGCGGGCCCGGTCAGCAAGCTTCTTGGATATGTCAAAGTAGGGGGACCCGAGAATTGGGTGTTTCCTTTTGATGTCCCTTTAAACCATGAAAAGGGCACCCTCAAAAAAACGAGCCACGCCCAATTCGTTGCCATTGGAGCCCATGGCTATGTCTCGATTGACCTGAGCATATGTAAACTATGTAACCAAACACAAAGGATTCAATAAGCCTTCACATGAGCTTCTAGTCCAGGCTTGATAGACTAATGAGCTTGAGTATATGTCTGTTTCTATCTCTGTGCTTGTTGTCGCATCTTTCACAGCCTGACACCAATCTGGGAAAGATCCGATTTACACCGGGCTCGATGCTTGCAATGCTGCTTGTGTTTAGAACCACCATGCATTGCAATCAAATCTTACCAACGCAGCTTTCTGTAACGCAACAAAAGCAACTGCTAGGGACAACCCGCGCTGCCCTGGTTCATGGTCAACCCGAAGGGTTGGGCTACCGGTTTCACGGAACCGATATGTGTTGAGCCTCTTGGCTTTTCTTTCCAGGCCAGGAGTGGGCTGTTCAAACCAACTTACTCAAGCCTGGCAAGCCCTTTGGGAGCACCGATGCAGCTCCCCGCGAGGCCCACAACTGGTGTGGTAGCAGCTTTGTCGAAATCAAGGGCTGGCAAACAAAGGGACTCCACAACAAAGGGCTTGCCGATGGCAATTCTGAAGTACAGCTTTCGTTGCTGTCGGAGGGCCACCAGTCTTCACGTGACGTCTGAGTTTCAACCTCGTCTCCCTTCCCTGAATCCTTGGGGCCAAAACCCCTGCCGCCAGCATCTTCTCCAGCCACATCTCCTGGGCAACGGCTTGGCCTTCATAGCCAGTATGGAGATCAATGTCTGTGCGTCGCCAGAAATTTCATAAGTGCATGAGTCTGTTGCAAAACGGATGATGTCCTTTCGCATTCGTCTGTGGTCCTTGGGATGAAAGCAACATCCATAATTTGCTGCGAACGATCTGCTGTATAAACCAAGGAACTCTTAGCCCACTCCCTGAATTGACTGCAAGGCGACCACATGGGCCATGAGGGAGGCACTGCGCCCCCTGAGTTGCTGGTTTGCAACCTGCATGGCCTCAGGCAACAGAAGTATCAGTATCAACGAAGGAATATGACGTTGAGCATGCATCCAAAGGTAAAGAAGACAAATTGCCTGGCGTTGTGTGGTTTTGGTACTGCGTTGTCATGAACAGAGAATCGATCGGTCATGTGCTTTCCCCATATCAGAGCCTTCCTCTTTGGTAGGGACCTCCGAAACCAACAGGAGTCCCCAAATTGCGTCTGCCTTTGTTTGGGGGATCAGTCTTTCAGGTTGCCAAAGGAAAGCCAAAAGGGAAACCACCAGTTTCAGAAGTCCACCATTCCAACTACAACCAAACAACAATGGTGTTTTCGCAGCGCCCCTTCAAACCAAGGTTAAGAAGGGAAAGAACCATAACCAAAAAAAGGCCCCTTTGGGGGGAGACCCGGAACGTGGACACTTGAAGTCTATTTGGACCAGGAACCTCCTAGCAAAAGTTAAACCTTATAAAATAGACAGACGCTCAAAGTGTTTGTCCTGCTTCCACTTGTGCCGCCGGGCGAATGATTCATCCAGTACGGACTCTCCAGTCCGTACATCAGTCCGATCCATCCTACGGCTCCCATGTTCTGTCTGACCGGATCCGATCGATGCAGTGGGGCCGATTTGTCTGATCCCGTCATCCGTCCGATCGGTTCCGATCTGTCCGATCAGTCCTAGGGGCCCATGTGTCCGATCCGCCAATTGATCCGATCGGTCCGCGGTCGGTCCGGTGTGTCCGAGCGCCCCGCGATCCTCATGAGTCTGATCGGGCCTGATCGTGTTGATCAGACACTGTCCGATGTGTCCGATCAGCCCCATTAGTCTCATCTCTCCAATCAGTCCAATCAGTCCAATCAGTCCGATCGGGATCCGCCGATACGTCCAGTCAGTTTGCACACAAGCCCAAGTGAGCACGTCGGGGCGGCCCGCGTGGCGATTGCAATGAACGAAGCCCGCTGTTCTGCTTGTTGTTGCGGGGCGGTCTGCGCAGCGATTGTAAATGAACGAAGCCCGTTATCTTCTTGTTGTTGCCTAGCAGGCCAACATCACCAGCGTCTCCAAGCAGGAGCGAGGCGTCACCGCAAGTGAGCCCCCCTTGAAGAGAGAATGAATGGCGGGAAGGAGGGTGGTTCATTTGGGTCTGCCGCAGCGCAAGCACATTCCACACAAGCCCAAATGAGCGCGGCCATTGCAGATGAACCCGTCATTTTCTTGTTCTTGCCTGCACCAGGCCAACATCACCAGCGTCTCCAAGCAGGCACGAGGGTGGCGGCTCATTTGAATTTGCCACGGGTCCGATTAACATCTGACAAGAGGCCGGAAGGAAGGTGTTTGATTTGGATCTGTAGGGGCAACATCACAAATGAGCCACCCAGGAACCTTTCTTCGGCTAAAAGTTGGATTTGCACCATAGTGCTTAAAAATTGCCAACCAAGGTGCAGCCTTCTCCTGGTCCCTGCTCACCGTGAGTGCAAACGAGCGGGCTCCGCAGCCCTCACTTGCGCGTTCCGAGCGGGCCAGCCAAGCAGAAGTTTGATGAGTCCGGCCCGACTCGAGGAGTGATCCAGCCCGCTGTCTGACGAACGCGATCCGTCCGACAGCCCGATGAGTCCGATCAATGCGAGTCTGCACGGGCAACGAGAGCCCGAAACTGCCTCGGTCCTTCCCACACAGGCCCGAGGAGTCCGATCAATTTGCCCGATGGGCCGCAGGCTCCGAGCAGTCCAAGAATCCATCACCCACAAGCACAAAAAGTCCGAGTTCGATGAGCCCGACGTCGCCATCTGATCAGCCACTCAGCGGTGCCGGCTGAGAGCAAATGAGCCTTCCATCAAGCAACCGCACAGGGTAGATTACGTGCAAGTGAGCGTCCGAAGAACCCACTTCTAACGTGTCTACCATTAGGCAAGACACGGCATTCGCCGCATCGGCGCCAAGCGTTCAAGGCACCGGGGACCCCCATTTTGGGGGGGGGGGGGGGCAGGATTCTGAGCGCTGCGCCCACGCAGCTTTCGGATCTCGAGCTGGGGGGCCCCACAGCCCGGGAGACGCGGCCCTTCTGCGCGCAGGCGTTGATGACGCTGTTGTAGCTCACCTCGCCGCTTTTCGAACGACCCAAACGTTTTGCATGTTGGTCTGTTTTCTTGAAACCGATTTCGGGGGGCGCGGCAAAAAATCAAGTCCATCGATCCACCTGCTATGTGCCGTTTCCTTTGGAGACATTCAAAGACGCAAAGTATGCGGTTGCCCTAAACGACACCTCTCGAGAAAAAAACAGGAAGAAGAAAACAAAAACGCACAGTTGGTGATGTCAACTTCAGATTTTAAAGAAGCCCCCCCTTGGGGCTAACAAGAGTCCGAAAAGTCGTCGCAAAGGCATCCCCCATATGAGCCCACGGTGATAGTACATGTTTGCCCGCAAGGGCATAGGAAAACTAAATGAGCCCCCAGGTGTGTTCTCCCCAAAATGGGACCATGGAAATCTGGATACGTCCCAAGCCTCATGCCGGCGCGCCAAACGCTTGGGCCGGGCCGTGGGAAGTTTTGCTCTGACCTTTGGCTTCAGGCCGCCTGCCCGGCTCTCAAAAACTACGCGGGATTTGGTCGTTGGCTCCATTCACCAAGGTGAGTCACAATCGAAACCTGGTCTCAAAATGGTCCCAGAACCAGGCTTCAAGAATTAGGAAGGCGGAATTCCGCAACGATTTCTGGCTGGGACTGGCCCTTACTAACCTTCATCCACCCAGGTTTTGATTGTGGCTCGGGTGCCATTTGGTACATTTATTTGAGCCACAGCCAGATCTCACAATCGAATTCGCCTAAGTCCGCCCTCCGTCTGGCGGGAGCAAAACCTCTCACACCTGGCCTCGTTCGCTTGGACGCCAGCCTCCAGCATGCGGCCGAGCCTAGGTTGCGGTGGCGCTTGCCGGACTTTCGCTTCAGGCAACGGGAAAAAATTGCGCATAGTGTCCGATATACAAGCACACTGGTCAAATAAAGACCGCTAGCACCCTCACCTTTGGGGGGGGGGGGGGGTCAGGAAATTTGCTTGTTTGCTGGGCACACAAGGCTTGAGAAAAACCAGCGGCCACTCTGGGGGAAGACGCCATTCTGCTCCCATGATCTTTGTACTGGATGGGGTTGGATGGACGCCTCGCTCATCTTTCCCTTTCCCCCCGCAAGGCTACGGGTGATTCATCAACCAAAATGTGCGAGGGTACCTTCCCGACGCCTGGAAGAACCCACAAACTCCGGGGTATCACCAAGGGAGAAACTCGCACCGGTCAATTCTGCGGCTCCCTGAAATCCTCCGGACAGCTTCCTGCACAGCGCCTGGCTGGCGCGTCCCTTTTTTCTTTGCCGCGGCGGGCTTGCCTCGCACATGGCGGTGCCCCTGCGCAAGACAGTACAGAGCAGGCCCGAAACCGAAAAGCCCTTCGACTTTTGGCTCTACAGGCCTTTGGATCATCACAAGCTTGTGTAGGCCTTTGCTCTAAACCAGGCTAAACCAGGTTAGAGCCTACGAACGAATGGGCACTTGGGATCCGTTTTGGGATCTGCTCGCATACTTCTGTACAAAGGCAGAGGCACCCACAGCTCTCTCTGCTTAAGGGGTCGCCGGAATTCTGGCGATTGCGGCACGCGAGCTATGCCAAGTCCATGTGTTTCAGGGGTCCTCAGGTGTCTCTTGCCCCAAATAAACCCGAAAGCGATGATTCAGGCGTGTTGATTCCAAGAATTGCTCGTGCGGGCTCTCACGTGGTTCACTTTATGCTGCCAGAGTGATGCGCAAAGATCATCAAGATAGCCACAAGTGATCCTCGAGTTTGCTTGCTTGCTCCTTTGCTGCGCGATGCCTTTTACAATGCGCTAAGCAAATTACAGTCGCTGTGTCAGAACCTGATCTACACTGATTGGCAGTAGAAGGCTGTAAGAAAAAATCCTAGCTGTCACCCAGACAAGCTCTCGAAATGGGCTAGATGTGCCGGTTGCGGGGCTCGGTGCTGATTGCGATGGCCTTTGCGTAGAATGTTCGAAAGGATGAGTCTCCCGACGCCAGCTCACTTTGATAACAAGAAGGCTTCTGAAAGAAAACACGCAGGACTGCTTATTCCAAACATGAATCTCCAGATCTGCGAGCAGTGAGCTTGGAATGAGAGGCTCCGTCACTTTTCAAGCTGCGCCTTCACCGCTCGGGCGAACTTCTCATCCTGGAAGAGAATGATGCTGGCGCAGCTGGGGTTGTCGTAATGGTCCGCCACGCAGGTCATGGGCCCACTCAGCTGAATCCACTCCTTGGTATCCTCCCGCATTTGACGCAGGGAGCGCTGCTTTCTGGGGAAAAGCTCCACCCGAAACTTGTTGCGACCGATGAAGGGGTTGGAACCCCCCAGCATGAGGCAGTAGCTGCTGCTCTCGTACTTCAAGAACCCAGACAGGCAGCCGCTGTGATGGAGCACCACGCCCACCGCCGAGTGAGGCGGGATGACCTTGGGACAGGTGATGTGCCCCTCGTTTCGCAGGCGGTCTGTGAGCTCGAACCGCTCGTTGGATGGATTGGCGATGACGACATAGATGACGCGCTGGTGCACCCCGGCTTGCACAAGCGCTATCGCACCCCCCACGGCGAGCACTGCCGCCCCAGCCGCACCCGCCAGCGGCGCGGCGGTCGCCAGGCCGCCGCTGACACCCCCCGTGGCAGCGCTGCCCGCAGCGGCGCCCGCGGCGCTGCCGGCCGCGCCAGCCGCGTAGCCGCCCACCACGGGAACGGAGGCCACCGTCGTGGCCACGGCGCCCTCCACGCCAAGCGCCACGCCCGTGCCGATGGAGGCCCCCAGGCAAGGCGCGGCTGCGGCCAGCGCCGCGGCGCTGCAGCCCACCACAGCGCCCATGGACATCACCACGGTGGCTGCCGTCAGATCCACGATGTGCGGGCTCCCCAGGCCCAGGTCGGGGCTCTGGACCAGCAAGCCCGCGCGGAACCGCCCGCGCTCGGTGCAGTAGTCGCCCTCCTCCAGCTCATGCATGTCGGGCATGCCTGCACCTGGAGCACGCCCGCTGCACGGCTTGGCTCAAGTTTGAGCTCAAATATGGCGGACATGCCACTCAAGTTTGCAAGCATGGGCACCCTGACTGGCAGTACCCTACATGGATGAAAATACGATTTGCTTGAAAAGTACGAGGACAATCCGACCCATGGCTGCAGATCCTGCTTGGCCCGCGGCCACATCTCAGCACGCTCCACATAACCGGTTTGTGCACAGGCATTGATGACGCTGTTGTAGCTGACCTGTGCGCAGAACATGTCACAGCGGCCTCAGTGAGCCCTGAGTTCCTTTTGCTTCTTGCTGGCAGATGGCTTTCATGGTGCGCCTTTAAGCTGAAACCAGTTGGCTCGCTCCTTCCTTGCTTGGTTTCTTGTTTGGCTACGGATTTTGATGAGGAACACCCTCAAACAAAGCCGGTGGACCTAAGTATGTCTTGCCCACCATCCCAATTCGTCCCGTCCCAAGTCTCAAGTCCCAAGTCCCAAGTCCCGTCCAACGAGTCGCCTCGTTGGGTTTGATGTCATTGTCCTGCATCCAAATCAGCCACTCCTCGGCCTTCTGCGGACGCCTGCGAAAGCGGCTTCGGCGCCTGCGGCTTAGCCACGGGAGATGTCAGGTGTCAGCATGAAAACCATCAGCCAGCGTCCAGTGAATCTTGCCAGCACTTGTGGACCGGACGCGGCGAAGTGTCTGCCTCTTGTGTGCCAGAAAGGAATCCCTGGTGGCTGAAACATACGCTACGCTTGAGCTACCTCGCGCCCCTGCCCTTGCGACCTGCCTAGCTTTGGCAAAGACGTTGATCGCAGCATTGAGGTGGATCCGATTTGGCCTCGCTGACACGGTCGCGGAAACATCTGGGCTGGGCATGGCTGCAGGGCAAGGTGACAAAAACAAGAAGTTAGGCTAAGGGGCAAGTTGCTAAGAAGGCGACTAAGGAAGGCGCAGTTTCGTCAAAACAAAACACTGCCCATGCATACGTTGGCGGGCACCAACTCATGAGACTTTGAGCCACATTGCTGGTTCTCGCAGATTCCGCCACCGATGTGTTCTTGTCCGCAACGCTCGGCCCGAAACTGGCGCGTAAAACTGGGTCGCGCCAGTAGAAGTTGGCTGGTGCTCAGGGAATGAGAAGTGGAAGCCCTATCAAACGTCCCGGCGGTTTGCTTTCGGGGGACCTTCTGGGTTCATTTCCTCATTCCCTATCGGCGCCCGGCACCAAAGGCCGGCTGAGGAATCAGCTTGATGTTCCGCGCCGACATCTCCGTGAAGACCGCGTCCACTTCCCACCTGTCCCAGTGCAATGAGTTCTACGGGGGAAGCACCTCAAAAGCGGGTGGCGGACTGAATCCCCACCTAAATGATGTCCACCACACGGTCCAATTTGAAACGAATAGCGCGACCAATGGATGCTGGTGGATCGATGCTCTCACCATTTGTGATTTGACTTGTTGTCGTCTGTAGCAGTTTAGGAACGCGTCGCAGCTACTCTCCTGAAACCAAAGGCCAACGACATCTCCTTGCGCGAAACCTATTAATCCGCGACTGGAAGGATGCAGTATGAATCCACGCGTGGCCTCGTGTCCCAATCAGACGTATGCCCACGGGTCCATAGCCTTCGAGAAACCTTCCCCAACACCCACCCCTTCAAGGACCCAAGTCTGAAACAAGCAAAGTGCAAGAAGCCCTCCCCAGATGGTTGCTGTTGACCCCCGGGGGAGTTTAGTGGAAAACCCCTTGATTTCCCAAAAAGCCGTCAAGCCCAGATGTTTTTTGTTTCGCAGTGACTTGAGGGCTGCGCCAGCGCCGCTCCCGCGCCAGCTTGGCCAGGATCGAGGTGAACACTCCCGGGCCTGCTGCATGCGAGGCGATGCGAAAACTGCCTGACCGGCAGGTTGACCTCGCGACACCCGATGCAAGCAGCAACCAGGACCAAATGAAGATCTGCTTGGGCGGACTTCGATGTGCCACAAAAGTTTGCTCCCGCATCCTGGTGTTAACGACCGGACTAGGTCGGACCGTGAATTGGTGGACGCAGAAGGGGGGCAAATCCCAAGCGCCTTCGCTGAACAACGTCTGCCCCAGAAACTGGGAAACTACGAGTAGCTTCACAAAATATCAGTGCATAGCTTAACTTGAACGCCACGTGGCTTGGAACAGGGGGGGAGGGGAGACACCAGCCGTAGGAGAAAACACAAATCTTGCGGCGGTCTGAGCAAGGCTCGAGGGGCGCCTTTCTGTAGCTCGGAGGGCGGGAACCGACAAGGCAAACGGGCGGCCTCAACGGAGTGAAGTCAGAGGCAAGGTTCCGAGGCGTTCCAGGACATCTGAGGTTCCAAAACGTAGCAGCGGGAGCGGGCCTCCAGGCACCAACCATATCTCGCCAAGGCCGGGGCACTTCCCCAACCACACAGCCCAAAACGGGTCAGGGCCGGCGCTGACCGTCGCTGCAAAGTACCCGTGGGTGGAAAGGACCCATCTTGAAATCGCCCTTCCCCGAAGACTCCTGAAACTCGCTCGATGGTTCCACGGTTCCAGGGACAAGGCCTGGCAGGCCCAGGGTCCCTCAAAGATAGCCACAAATTGGGAGAAATCTGTCAAAGCAGAGGCCACCAAGTCACGGAGAACACGCGAGCCAAGGAAAGGTGCGAGGCCGCAAGTGGCCCAAACGTGCCGCGTCCACGGCACTCTCTGCTGGAGCTGGGAGGAACCCCCAAAAAAATATGCCCACCCCTGCCTCGGGCAGCTTGTGCTGACAGGGACATGACTGTTTGCTGGTCTAAAGGGAGCATCAAGAAAATCAAGAGGGCAAAAAGTCAATCCGGAACCCTTGCATCACAATCTCCATGCCAGGGATGGGATTTGATCCTGAGAAAATTGCCCTTTCGGCTGCCAGCCCGCCTGAATTTCGCGGCAGGGCCGCCAGGGTCTGCGCGAAGCGTGCCTTAGCCAAACCAGCGCAAGGCCTGTGATTGCAATGCAGAACCCTCCTGTGTCCACTCAAGAGGCTGGATCACAAGAGCCGTTTTGCCTGGAGGACGATGCTGCGCCGGCAGGTGAGTGCTGGTGGGCGCAAACCAACATGCAGAGGTCCCCGATCAAAAGTGGAGACTCGCATCAAAATAGGCGCCAAGCCCAACTTGGCGCCATCCACCCGGGTCGTTGGCTCAACCGCCTGCCTTGAAACCTCCAATTCCCAGTAAGGTGCGAAGGGGGACGAACTGCTCACTCTGCCTTCCGCGGCAAAGGATGCATGGCTTACGACAAGGGAGCGACTCCAGCAAAAACAAAACCGGGCACACACACACACACACACACACACGTCAACCTCCACGGGGCTGCGCCACCGCCCATACTCTCCGCACCAGACCCGCATTTGTTCGGGGATCCCGGCACCATCATCCCGATCCGGCCTGCGAGACAAGTGCTCTCAGGTTCTCCAATACCATGAGCTTCTTTCTATATATTTCATGAACAGGAGGGAAAGATGATGCTTTCTTTTTCAAAAGCAGAGAAGGTCCGGGGCTCCCAAGCTCACCTTCCTTCTCTTTGCCGCCCTCAAGTCGTCACGGGGTGCGGCCGTATCTCAGGCGCTTGGCTTGGACCCCTTGGCCTTTGCCAGCATCCAGAGCGCCCAGCCCGAGGCACAGCCGAGTGACTGACCAAAGCAAAGTGTTCCATACAGTTCCATGACACACCTCCGGAGTTGGAGAGGGCACGGGCATGTCACGGATGGGGCATTCAAATCTGCCATAGGCATGCATACCGGAAACTGAATATGGGTACCACGGTTCCCTCATTTGACATGTGCCGCTTTTACTTTCGATGTTTACACCAGACCCAGGACCTTTTCAATCGAGATGCAGCAACCAGTCTCAGCCTCTCGATCTTGAAACAGCTTGCCATGGCTTCATGCTTGCCCCAACATTCCGTGTCTTCCGCCCCCCCCCCTTCTCAATAAAAACTCGGCTCCCTACATTGATGTGCCTTCAGAAAACTCCCGACCCACTCCTTGAGGAAAACTGAGGGAACCGACCTTTGCCGTCCAAGGAGTCTCCGGCCACCGTGCAATTTTGACCCTCAGCGCACACACACACACACACACAGACACACACGCAACCCCACGTCTCCACGGCACCACGGCCCCACGCCTTCCGTCCTTGCCATCACGCTCAAATACATCACCTCCAGCGTCCTGGCGAGGTCTGACTGCTTGTGAATGGAGCAAAAACTGTCAGTTTGCCCTTTGGCGACTTCTGCTCAGATGCTTCAGAGGTTGCGAGGATTCGCTTTGCAACTTAGGAATTGAAACCCCACATCGCACATACAACTGAAACGGAGTCTAATCCTCGCGAATACAGCAACGACAAACATGGGTAGCTGTTGCGGAGCCAGCCAAGATTGCAGACTTGAATGTCTGGTTTCACCTCCCAAAATGGCGTTCGGTCAATGATTCAGAGAGCTACTAGAAGTGAAGCTTGGCGAGCTTCCTGCCAGCCTGCCAGCAAAGAATACCAAATCTAGACTTTGGCCAACATGGGCGGCCAAAGCGCTTTCTCCAAAAAGAAGAGGTCGCCAATTCCAGAGTAGCTGAGATTCAGACTAATATAAGCAGCTACACTGCTAGAATGGGGGGGGGGGGTTGCGGTACCATGAAATCAGATTAAGTCTAACTCATGACCATGGGAGAATGTGAGTAAACATTCAGCTCCTATCAACCTCCGCAAGCCTCTTGCCTTGCTCTTCAGCGACCTCGCCTTGACGTTGGGAAACATCTCGAACCTCCGTCGCGCTCAGCCTGGCGTTGCAAAGTGTGCGTTGCTCACAGTATGAGGCCGCGTCAAAACGAGCAGAGCGAGAGAAAGGGGCATGCAGCATCCCCTTGTTGGGAATCTCTATGAAGGTCATAACGAACCCTGAAGCTTGCTGTGGTCATCTGGTACGTTTCACAAACTAATATTGGATACCCGCAAACCTTCTCGTTGCATGTTTGGCTTGTTTCCCTGGATCACCGACGGCACCAGCGATGTTGCAAAGAGGTCTAGCTTGTATGATAGTATGGTGGATGTAAGCGCGCTGAGTCTTCATGTTGTCAAGGCATCATGGCTCAAATGCGCGGCTTTGAAACTCTATCAAAGGTCTTCAACTGCATGTCGGAA